CTGACGTTCAGGAGTCCAAAGCCTGGGCGTTTTGTTGACGAGAGTCCAACAATGTCCAGTTGGTACTTCATGGCCTCATCAACCAATTCTTGTTTCTTTCCTCTGAGTGAGGATATGTTCCAACTTCCGACTTTAAGCTCCCATTGGTGGTGCCGTTTTCGTGGATGCTCTTTTGAGGTTCTATAACGGTACTGCGATGTCTGCTTCATCAGAACGGGTAGCAAGTCCGTTACTGATTGGTACCTTCATCGTCATCCCGTCGAATCTTCTTCAGCTGTTGTTGTGCTGTTGCGCCATCGGCTGGCAGAAGGCGTTGAGCAGGTTCTGACAGTCGACCTCTCACAGCCTGTTTCAATGCCCTACTACGGTGCGCGACCCTTTGCATTAGTAGCGACCGCCGTGCCAGTATATTTTTCGATGACGTCAATACCACGAAGGTCAGGTGGATAAGTTTTACGGAGACTTTGACACCTTCTCCAACTTTCCTCATATGTCAGCCGGGTTTGGGACCGGCAATGGCGGAGATAATGGTGAAGATGCCAATTTGAAGTTTCTAGCATAAAACAGCTATATCGTAATTGAACCCGAAGAATGTGAAAATGTAAACGAATTTAAACAAATACAAGATATCCTACCACGCGAAGTGCGACACGCAACCAAACAATCGATGCACAAAATGACTCTCGCCTAAAACTGCAATATTGTGGAAAAATGAGGAGAAGCACTGGTCAAAATGTTTCCATCGTTGCTTCCACGATGTCGCATGTACCGAAAATTATACACGACGTGACTACAGCATTAGTGAGGAAACCCACAATTTATGAAACAGAGACGATCTCAAGTCATACAAGCTGATCAGGCTTGTGCCAGATGTCTACATATTACTAAAACCATACTAACACCTTTGGAAAGAACGCGCAGAGTTTTCTGTAGCTTACATGGATATCAACCATACGGAGCGAAATTCAATCATTGTATTTCCAAGTAGCGAAAGAGTAATGATCAGTTCCTAATTGAAATCTCGGACGGAATCGTCATCGTTCGTTTAATTTTAGAACGCATCAAACCATCAACGAACCCATCTATGGGCACAAAGAAACATCAACGAAGCCATTTATCACGTGAAACTGATCGATTATCTCCACAGAAAAGATGAGTAGCGAGTGCACCATTGGGCAAATGGATAAAGTGAATGAGACCGCAGAAGGTTTACAAATTGTAGCGCCCCACAAAATGAGATGGTCACAAAGAGAATTATCAGGGGGCATTGTAATTTCACCGATCCCGAAAATCCCGACGTATCCGCGGAGGACGTGGAAACTACTTCACAAGAAAAAGGTTCAAATCGCAGACACCGCTGGAATCAAGCGCTAGAAAGTAAGTTGACGAAACCGGATTGACATAGCACAATAAATAACAGCAGAATGGTATGAAAGAATTCGGTCTCGTCTTGACTGGATAAGGTTGGCTAGATCTGCTTTCTGTCGGGAACACGTGAGCAGCTGCTGCTTTTATACGCGAAGGTTGTGAATAAAATGCTTTCTTGTTCCTTATTTAGAATACACAAAAATATGCTCATATCGCTGAAACACATTAAATAATAAGTGCTACAAGTAGTGTAAATCCATCGTACCGGTAATAGCAGAGATAGAAAACTTGTCGGCCATCTTGTCCATGTAAGCAACTATCATGACTGGTGAACTGAACACGAGGGTCATGTTAGAGGTCAACCTTAATTCGCCTCGTCTCGGGTTGCAGAGCCTGTACGTCTTTCTTGTGCCATAAACACTTAGGTCCTGATTTTCAGCGTCACAATCGATTTCAATTAGCGGAAATGTCAAATACGTTAGTGCGCTCGGTGATGGCACAAAGCTGATGTTATAAATGTGGTAATCCTCGGAATCCACAATCCCATGAGAAAATTTTCGTGTTGAAAATGGAAGTAAGTAGAAAACCGTACTTATCCAAAGTTCTAAATAAAATTAGTTATAGATGACTCAGAAAATTATCCAAAAGTACTTGTTGAAATCAACTTTGTGTGTTGTCCCTCTAGCGGCACATATCGACATTGGGTTAAGCTCGGCAAAGCAGTTGAAGCCACGTTTCTCGGAGTGTAGGTAACTCGAAACAAGACAGTTGCTCTATCACCTGTGCGTCTAGAAGAAAAAAGGCAATGTCGTGATAGCACTGCAAACTATGAAATGGAATTACAAGATTTATGCTTAGAATTTTTGCAGTTACCATTTCTAAACGCTTTGCAAAATCAGAGAACAGCACAATTAAGGTTTATGACCTGGAAATTCTATCATGATGCTCAGGTGCAAATTTTTGATAGACGCTGGAACAAACATTCGAATAAGGCTGTTCTCGTGTAAACGTACGATGGAAGTGGTGCAGGTGCCCACCAGGATAGATGCAGACAATGTCGGAATCAGCGACTCGCCAATGATGCATAAATAATGTCACAGGTCCTGAGTAAAGCGTCACAGTAATTCCCCACGGTTTGAATCCACTGGGATGTGGAGATAATTGTTTGAGAGACATCGGAAAAAGTTTACAATGAATGGCACCCACAATGGAGTGTCGAATAAAAACTGACAAAGAAAGCAGCGCCAAAAGAGAAGAATGGGCGGACTGTCAACATGGTCACTGTAGCATACCCATAATGAGCAGAAGTAAAATTCAGGATGTTATGTGCCATCTTTGCTTTTCTTGGGAGTTGAACTTCATTTGTAAATGACACTCTCTCCTTGAGCTTACAGGGTCGTTCGATCGTAAAGCATGAGCTGTCTAAACGTAGTTACAATGGTAATACCACCTCTGCTTTGTGATAACAAAGCCATTTTTTACTACCGGCAAATCTGATAACATATGCAGTAAATTCTGAGATAACAATTCTGAGTATGAAACAATAATAGTTCAGATACAGTATCAGAATGGCGAGGACAGTTAAAAGTAAATTAAACTTAAACATTTTCTGCAATGGAATTCAGGATAACTTTCTGATATATTTCAGGTTATTAAAAACGTTTACTTGTTTTCTGCATCAGCGTAACTTAGTTACCAAACGTAGCTAAACCACTCATAATATTCCCGTTATTCAGAAGTCAAGAACAATTGCATCATGGGGAATGATGAACCACGGATTCAGCACTCTCCATTTTTCGTTCGTAACTGTTAATCGAAACGCTGTAAGTACTTACTACCCTAAAGAGAAATTGTTTCAGAAATCGAATGTTAGCTTTGACAATGGCTCTGTTCTTAATGACATGGGTTCAAATGACGATTCAAAAACGGAAGTGGAAATCAAGGATTCTAGTCATCGAAATGTGCATATTCCTTAGACGTTGCTGATGAAGTCATATGAATCCATTTTGAAGGAGGTAATGATTAGAGTCTAATCAAAATTTGCTGGTCATCAGCTAGGAGCAGCTTGTCCTAGGAGCAAACTATAGAATTACCTGATAGGTATAATATCCAATTACCTGTTTGCTTTATACAGGCTGGTACTTTATTATGTACTTCTCAGGGAAGAAAGGTGAGTGGCAATATTGGGGATCCAACCCCGAACGTCTCAGTTGAGTCGAATGCTCGACCGTGGCCTACGATTCGGCAGGTCAGTTACAGATGAAAATTCGCTGTGAACGACGAACGCAGACATAAATGGAAAGGGATAGGTGGCAGTCCCTGCCCAAAAATCGCTGAGAGACGGTCGGGGTGATTGCTGCGATAAAGAGCTTTTTATAAGTTAAATAGATTTCGCAATGGAAGGCACTGGCAATCATTCAAGCTGCAATGAAAAACCTGAGAGGTCAT